ACATAATAAAGCAAGCTGTGCAGACCTTTGTTAGCATAAGTCCTGTGTGGTGGTCCTTTAGCTGAAGTACTAGGCTATAGAGCACCCAGGAAACCCGGCTTTGCATCCCAAACCTTCCCACTCATTGTCAGTGCCTGCTTGATAACGTGTTGCATTGCAGTGCTGAGCACAGGCACGGTGGGAGATAAAGTAAGAGCTTTTTGAAAGTCAGTGGGAGTCTGACTGCCTTGAAATCAATGACAAGGGTTTCGGTCTGGAAATGCGCTGCTGCTTAGCGGGAGGTGGGAATGATGGTGATGGCTTTGAGAGCGTAGTTCTGTTCCAGCCCCTTTTCCCTGTGCAGTGCAGTTGTCTCCGCCAGACCAGGGATCCCCAGGGTATCCCCACCCTTGCATTGCCTTGATCTGCTTTTTCCTCCCATGCCATGCGAGGTAGCCATGGGACAGTAGACACAAACTGTGGTTTCTTTGGACTTTTCAAATTAAGTGAGACAGTCCAGGTTCATTGGGGAAATCCAATTTAGAACAGGGTTTTTCAGTAGTGACTCAGAGCTGAGTTATTTCTAAACAGTGAAAAACATTATGCCCTGCAACTCATAGAAGATAAGTAACTAAAATGTTATGCATACTGGAATGTGTTGTCTCTGGCACTGAAAAGATCACAAATTTTGCATCTGAAATGGTATCAATGGATGTTAGAGGCTGAAATTCTGCTCCTATTTTGAACTGTGCAACCCCAAAGAGGTTGCTCTTAGCTGTAAGCCATAATTTTTTGATTAAGAGTTTGCTTTGTTTCTGTTTTGTATCCTACTACTGTTAACTCTTTGGGGCCCATTCTGCTCTCTATTGATGTTAATTAGGATTTTCACATTGAGTTCAGGGGAAGCAAGACTTGACCTTTATTGAATGTCAATTGGAAATGGAAGCCAAGCTTGTGTTCTGGATACTATTATTCTATTTGCTGTCGGAGACTGTGCCTGAGTTATATCAATACTAAAAACTTGGCAGGAATATACCTAATAGATTATTTTCTGACTCTGAGAGGAGTTCAGTGAATATTATTACAATTCTAGCACTAGCCTTTTTGCCTCTGGCTTCAAATTGGTGTCTTATTCTCTGTGGGCGTCAGTATGAGACCTGGAGATCTTAGACAGCTGGGTAAAATAGTCTCAATTCTATAAACTAGCACTAGACTTCCTGTGACTTGGAAATGTGCCGGAGAGGAGGCGATGCTGCTACCTGGTGAGCAGGGGAAGCATGATAGCCTGCGCATATAGCTAATGCTCAGCCTGGTAGAAAGAGCTCTTCTAAAGTTATGCATCCACATTTTGGCTTTACTCCCCTCTTCATCAGTAAAGATAGTAGCTTAAACATCCCCTTTGCTGGATTCAGAAGCTGCTGCTTTGTTGAACAAATGCAAGTAAGGAGGGTTAAAGAGACCCAAGGAAACTCTAAAAACTATGAAATTCAATTAATTTTACTATTTTGGTAGCACAGGAAATATGCAGATGTGGGCAAAATAACAAACATGAATTTCTTTTTCTTGGATCCCTCACTGAGCTTGAACACTTTGGAGTACAAAGGAATCCCTGTTTTCATTTCCTCTCCTCCAGATCAAAGATCCTTCTTCAGGTGAATCCAGGTTATTTCTTCCACACTAAATTACAATGTCTGTAATGTAAGATGTCTCAGAATGTGGCACAGTGATGCAGAAGGGCCAGTGGGAACAAACATTAATGTTATAACAAGTAGAGGGAGTATTGCTTTATCCTCTTCCTCCCCACCATTACCTCCCATTTCCTCCTTGCCTCCTCAGAGCTGGTTGTGCAGTTGTGTCAGCGCTCGTCAGCTGTGCCAGATGCCTTGGATCAAACCCCAAACCAACCTGAAGGGGCTTGAACCCATTTCGGACACTTTCTGGGAAAACGCTCAGAAACTTTTCCTGGGTAGACCTCTCTTATGGTACCTGATTTAGACTAAATAGACAAGACAGTATTTGACTCTAGAGAATGGCAGTTAAGGATAGGGCAGTTGGATAACAGGGGAAGGAAACAAAGCCTCCTTCAGAGCAAGGTTAGCTCCTTCGCTGTATATGAAGGGCACAATTTGAGAAGCAGAAACTGGGACGCTCAGAAATGCATGCCCAGAAAATTTATACTTATGCATGCTGAGCACTTTACTCTTGGATAATTATGTGGTGCTAAGTGAGGGCTTTGAGAGTCTAAATTTTGGACTTTGCCACCTGAAGTAGTACTTAGGAAGCAGCTAGATATTTAGCTCACTCTGTGGATAGAGTCCATAAGGAACTAAAATTGGAGTTGTGGAGTTTGGGGTTGAGGTTATAGGGAGCGCTGTATTCTAAATTTGAACTGAAATTCTTTCTAACTTTGCCACCAAACATAAAACCCTAAATCTATGTTAGGCTTGAAACACTTCATATGTAATGTGAAGCCACAGGAGATTTACTTTTTTCTTTTGGAATGTTTGAGGCAAATCATCTGAGTCTTTTGGATTTAAAATGCAGGGAAAAACAGGCACGTTTCTGACTTCTAAAAATACACTCTAAAGAGAGGAAAGTCAGTAGGTTCAGGACAAACTCAGTGACCCTGTACAAAGGACAAGGAGATCCTGACAGCCAGTCTAGCCAGTAGCACTACACTGGATAATCTGAAGACAGTGTGTACAAGCTGCCTCAAAACAAAACCTCTTCCTCCAGGGTCTGCTTTGCAGTCAACAAACCTTCCTGACCAGGAGTAGCTCCACTTTGCAGGGAATATGTTTGTTTTCAATTTATGGGCACATTGCTACTTTTCTTTTGGCAGGTCTCCCACTCTTGCCTCACCACAATGCTTCATACCTGTCAGCTTCTCTTTGTATCTGGGTGCCCTCCGCTGCTCCTTGGTCATCTTGACCAGATGTCATCTCTGTTGAAATGGTGGCAGGCAGCCAGGGAATGATCTTTTGCAAAACCAGAAAAAATAGTGAATTCACAGCCAACAAAATAACCCTACACAGACATCTTCGGAGAGCCTGGAGTTGGCTCCCCTTTTCTGAAACTGGCGTGTTCAGTCCTGTCTGCAGGAGAGTCACCAAAATCCTGGTGCGCACCTCAGGGCAGTTGGTGGAAAGGGCGCTGCTGACTGTGAGTCAAGGAAGAAGATCGTGGTGGGGAAGTACCTGAGATCCAGGGACCAGCATGCAAACCCCAGGCAGCCTACAAACAGGAGCAGTAATAAATATGCCCTGCACTGCCATCCAATTGCAGAGGGAGATGTGCACTGAAATTCTTGCTTGTTTTGGAAAGAACCGACAGCTTTTCTTTTTCTGCTTGGCCAATCTTTAAAATGTTAATTTCCCTGTGATATCAAATCCCATAATCATCGGTCACCCGGATAATCTTGATAATTTTCTTTCCGGAGTTATTTCCCGTCCTTTCTCTCTCTCACCCTGTTATGATCCCCTTCAAGAAATGGGAACCAGAGAAGCCAGAAAGTTCAATGCGTTTCATGTCAGGCATGTTTATCGTAGCAGAACAATTACCACAGAATCCTATTAGTTTTATAGTGTGTTTTTATGCTGATTTGAAGGTAGCAGATGAAAGTGTAATGCAACCCAATTTGACATGGGTTATGAAGGGCAAAATTGCTCGCCAGGGACTACCCTTTGAGCCCCAGCTCACATCACCAGCTCAGCAGCAATATTGCTCCTCCTCTCACCTTCTCATTGCCTTTTGGTGTCCAAACCATCTCCACGTGCCAAAGATCTGCACTGGGCTGACACCGTGAGAGCAGGACAGCTGGGAAGTGTGGTGAGGGCAATGGCTTGCTGGCTGAATGCTGCCACCTAACAACAAAGTGCTCTGCTCCCATGTCAAGGATTATACAAGGTGGTCAGTGTTTTCAAAGCACTGTTTTTTTGTTTCCTGTCCTGAAGCAAACCTCAGAACAAAAGGGGAACTGCCACCTCAAAAGGCAGGAAGAAAATTAACATTTTATCCATGGCTGGGTTAATTTTCTCTGACTCCATCTATTTTCAAAGCAGTTGGCCTAAACTATCCCTATACAGCCACTGGAGAAAGACTGGCACATGCAGAGAGCTCAGGATCTTGTCCCTGTTAGAGACTTCTCTTAGGGTGGGAAGCCACACTAAACAAAACCATTCCGAATCAAGGTCTGCTCGCTTTCCACCTCTGGCTCCTCAGTTTGCCATGTAATCAAAATCTCCAGGAAGCTGCTGCCAAAGTCTACCCACCTGCCTGGCCACAAACATGCAGGCATCACTGTGCTCATATTAATCATTACCCTTATCACAGTCACGGCATTTGTACTGAGCAGATCAGAGCATGGCACGAAGCCTGAGTCCCACACACACTTTCCTTGGTGACAAAGCCCATTTTAGAGTGGGCTGTCCTTTTCCACTGACTGCCACTGAAACAGATCCAGCGTGTACTGAAATAACACGATTTTTTTCTATTAAAATACACAGTTTTAATCTTCTCTTTCATTTTACAATATTATGGCCCACTTTCTATGTCGTACCTAGGCTCCCAGGGTTGAAAGGGCAGACCTTGGATTCACATGGTCCTTGAGTAAAAGACACTACGAGCTTTAGCAACGAAGGGTTGAACAATGAGAACCTCTCTCCTGTAATCTGGGTGGCAAAAAACTGGGTCAGAGTGGCAAAATCCCAACACCAGGCAGTTTTATAAGGAGATTTGATCCACATCAGTCATGGAAGCTCTGGTTTTACTTGATCCAGGCACTGCACAAGTGGTCAGGTCACACAACGTCTTGCAATCCCTTCCAGTTCTCCTATTTTCCAAATAGCATCTGTAAACTAAGGCAGTGCTATCCAGCCTGAAAAATAGGAAGCCTGGCTATGGTTGCTGTGCAACTGAGGTACTGAGGTCCTTAGGTAGTGACTGATAGGCAGCTGGATTTCAGATTAATTCGGATGTCTGTAGTTCATTAAAGGGCCAACACAGATCTACACAAGGTACTCATGACGTTCTACCGAGAGGCCGGGCAGATCATGAAATGCTCATATACATTATTTAGGCATGAACAGCATAAACTGAACATGCAACAGTGCGTGCAAGTGGAGCTCTCAGATGTACGTCTTGTGTCTAGATGAAGTAATCCACCAGCTGAGAAGATGCATAACAGAGGATGATAACAAAACCCAAATGCACACGCCTGCAAAAGGAACCGACTGCATATATATATAAAGGGATGTAGTTTGGAATTTTTTTCTGGTTTTTGGTCAGTTAAGAACCTTGTCCTCTTTTTTAGGTGTTTGATCAGATTGAGCTCCCCATCTACCCGGGAGCTATGTGGGTAGGTAGGGAGCTGTAACTGTGTAATGAATCCAGTGCTGGATTTTACGGCTGGGAAAGGTTTAATCCCTATTAAGGCTTAATTCCTTAATCCGTAAAGAAAGGAGGATTAGAAACAGAGTCTGGAGCAGCCATGGTTCTGGGTGAGCAGCTGTCCTCAGGAGTGCAGTTGCATGGTGGGCTTCCCAAGGCTCCGAAGGTGGTCAGGAGACAGGCAGCCAGAGTGAGGACGGCCAAAGGTGGCAGGGCCTGCCTTTCTGGACTTAGCCAAAGTCTGTGAATATTTTGACTCCTTGCTCAGTTGGGCCCAAGTTATTCGTTTAATGGCTATCCGCAAATGTTTGCACAAAAGGCTGGGTTGCCTGCTTGCGCAAACTTCTTGGAATAGTTAATCTTCAGTCAGTAAATCATGGTTTGGGTGCAGAAATAAAATAGCAACTAGCAAATAAGCAGTGACACAGAGCTCTCCTCAACTGTGCCAGAAGATGAGCTGAAACCTGCATGTTCTCCGGTGGCCACAGTGGGTATGGGCAGATCACCTCCTACCTCCTGGCCTGTGACACAGCTCCTGGTCATGTTCAGGCACGGTAACATTTTCTTATATGGGTGGATAACTGTTGCAACTATAATTATAGATAGTAAATGCATTAGAAAAGATAAAGTCTGGTGAGTGACTCATGAACAGGAAAAAGGACACAGCTTGTCAAAGGCATCCACGACAAACGGGTAACTCTGTTCTTTCCTCTGGTTCAGTGAGGCTGTGATTTGCAGCTCCTGAGCTGCACTTGGGCTCAGCGGCGATTCAACTGCAAAGCTCAGCTCAAGGGATAATGTCAGAAAATTATAACCTGAGAAAAGATCCCTCGAACAATACTGTCAGGCATTGTGGTGCTGGTCTTTGTTTGTCCCTCCTCATTGATTTGTTTATACTGGAAGGAAAAGGTAAAATAATACCCAGTTTTGTAAACAGATCATCAGTAAAATACCCTTTGTTAATATTAATAAATAGCTTGCTTAAGAAAAACCCCCAAGTCCCTGTGGTAGGTATTAGCCTTTGGTTTCCAGTTACTCAACCTCTTTACAAGTCTTAGAGATCTCATAAACTTTGAATGTTGTAGTAAAAATATTTATAGGGTAAGTCAAAGAAAAACATAAAATTGCATTCAAGTTTTGACAGGAGTAAAACTACTTATCCTGCTTATTTTTTATTATAGAAAACTGGATGCTGTGACCTCACTAAAAAATGATAGCTATTTAAGCAGAAAGGTTGGAAAGGATTTTGTGCATGTTAGTATTTCCTTTCTGAAGTATTAATATTTACCTTGGGAAACTCTTAAGTGCTTAGTCGGAAAAGACAGACAAGAGGTGCTCGTGGTGTCACAGGCTATTTATGGAGTCACAACAAAACTCTGCATGATAATTCCAGATGATACTTCAGTCAGAGGCTACGTTGACCTGCATTTTTGCTGGTCTCAGAATTGGGCTTGGTAAAGGCTAGATCCACCATGAACACCTGAGTTCCACCTCAAGTGCTTCAACTCAACAGTCAGATCCTAGAAAACCCACTTTTATCTTTGTCCAATCCTGTTGATGCCTAAAGCCCCAACAGCATCTCCATTTCTACTGGCACCCCACCCTGATCCAGACATCACCAGGCTGCAGGGAACTCCAGATAAGCCTTTGCCTACCCAGCCACTGCCTTATCTTGCTTGTGAAGTGTGAGCGAGCTGGCTTAAGATGTCTGTGTAAATGGTGAGGATTTCCATTCTGCAAGAGACTGTCCGGTTGAGAAGCTGCTTGATGGACACAGGGACAGCCTAATCACAGCTCCTGAAAAACAAGTGTCACATAGCACACCTAGTACAAGTCTAAGCACTAAATTATCAAGTGACCTGAGCTGCTGTTTAGGCATTAAAACAAGTGGCTGGGTTTTTTTTAGGATCTGAAGTGAAAAATTTGATCATCACATCCCAGAGCACTTGGGCTGGTGACACCTCTGATCATCCAGCTTTCACCTGGCCTCCTCCATGGGAGAGCAGCTGAGCTGCTGCGGGAAAAATCTTTTCACAAACATTTTCAACACGAAATCCCTTCACTTTCCTGGTGAAGATTCTTCTCCCTCAGCAGCAGGGTTTCAGTGATGGCCCATGGTGGGCAGGCTGCAAGGCACCTCTTCCCCAGACTGAGAGCTGAGGGCCAGGCACCTGCTGCAATGGGAATCTCCCAGGATATCCTCTCCTGCAAAAGACGTTGCATTCCTGATTCATCCTAGGTTTTGGATTAAAAATTATGTAATAAAAAGTGAAGTTTTCTTTGGGGCAAACACTAAAAAAACCCTCCTCTTTAGCCTCGGCAATGCATCCCTGTGTTGCTCTGCAAACCGGGCTGCGAGCGCAGCTCCCCTGCAGGGAGCCCAGCCGAGGGGTTTGCTCAGCCTTGCTGGGAGGGGGTGAGGTGGAGCTCATACTGCTGTACTTAACACCCGCAGCTCTGACAGTGTTAACACACACCTGGAGCTTTTTATTGCTATTATAAAATGGGAGTTTAGTTAACTTACTGTCCCACCATATTTAGACAGAAAATAACCAAAGGTTTAAAGACTACAAGCCAAAAACTTAAAAAAAAGGTGCTGTAATAATAAGTCCTTATCTCTGTTTTGAGACCTCTTTTTCGTTAGGAGGTGACCAATATATGACTGTCCTTTCTTCTCCTTTGTCTTTTATAGATGAGGCATTATGACTTCTCTTAGGGATGGTTTTTATGGGTAACAATACAGAAATAATTTCATAAGAACTCTCACTTCTTGCAGCATCAGCTACAAGTTACAACATAAAACCACCAAACCCTTGAAGATTATGTGAGAGCTATAGTTTGATGAGCCATTAAATCAGGTAACCATTATTCCGGATATTTCGGTTAAAAAAATGTTTTAATGCTGTCTTTTTAGTGCACTGCTTACTTTGCATGATCCTGTTTTTAATCAGCTCCCTCGGTAAGAGCCATGGATAAATACCACTTTCACATGTGCGCACAAGTTCTGAACTTTGAACGAATGCAGTATGTTAATACATATTAATCTGTTTACTTACTTAGCCTGTGTCTGGTCACAGCCAATAAATCCACAAATCCAGGCGCTGCTGATTGTGCGGCGGGCATGTAAGCACACAGTACACAAAGAAAAACCTAGAAATTTGTCAGCTCATGGAAAGCTGGACCTTCCTTACTTTGTGAAATGGGATGGTGCATATGCTTAAGATGTGCCTTCAGAGGTGCGCTGCTGTTTACCACGTGCTGGTAGCTCATTTGGTTTTGCACACATTGCAGAGCAGGATGCTGCTCTCACCTCAAGGATGTGATCCCGAATTCCCTGACTTGCTGGATGTTACGTACGAGCACAACCTCAGTGAGTGCACCCAAGCCTCATGCAAGACATCAAACCAGGGGTTATGGAGGGGTTATGAGATTTTTGTTCCCCCCTTGATAGAACTTGGAAAGGGCTGGGTACGACTCATGTACTTTACGGGTAAGACTCATGTACTTTACGTGTATGCAGAATTGGTTTCTTTGTAGGATGGACACATAGATGTTAATTAGGTACAAAGATATTGTGCAACCTCACCAGGGAGGCATGCGGTACTGCCTTGCTTTGGGTGTGTTAGCGCTGAGCTTGATGTTGTAACGACTGTGTGCCTCATTTGAGGGCTTAGGGGTAACTGGCCTCCAGGGATATTGCACTTTGAGTTTGAACCATATACTAAAATCATCTGACTTCTCATCTGGAAAGAGAAAAAAATCTTTGCTGTGTTTTATGTCACCTTCTGAATGGGACAAAAGGCTGAGAGGGAGAATCCAGGTACAGGTTCCTCTTGGCACAATCTCCCTGTCTCTCCCCCATGGCTGTCTTTGATATTAAGGCTCACCGGCACGCAGATCTGGGACAGAGCCTTCTGCAGCAAAGCTGTGCCTTGATTTGACTAAAAAAGTGCTACCAGTTGGGAGCTTGGGGGATGTGGGTCTCCCCCCCTCCCCGAGCTCTGCTTTCTATAAGCGCCTCTGGAGCTTGCTCCGTGTAGTGTACCGGGGGTCCAGTAACACTTTAGTGAAGACAGATGTTAATGCTGAGTGAGCAGAAGCTAACAGACTCGCAAAGCAACCTTGGCAGCTTGCCCCATTTTTCAGATTTCAATGTACCTACAAAAACTTAAAAAAAAACCAGAAGAAAGCCCTCTCTACATTTTGGCCTAGAGCAAGCTCTGGTGTAAGTAGTTCATCAAGACACACTCTCTTTAGCTCCTTAAACACACAGCTAGATCAAAATAAAGTATGAAGAGCATAAAGTAACTCACAGACACCGTTTATTAACACTGAGGCCTGCTGCAGGAAGAAAGTGACCTAGTAAATATCTCCCTGAGTAGTAAAATAGCTGCTGTAAGGAGTTATAAGAACTTTTGTGAGCTGTAATTCCTTAAGGAAAAAAAAAAAAGAGAGAAGTTTTTACAATCTTTCATCTCTGCTTGAAAGCAGAAATAAAAAGCTTACCCCTAAACTACTAGGTGCTTGTGAGCAGCCTGCTAATAATGTCATCTTCTGTCTGGTCTTAAAGGAAAAGGAGAGATATGGAAAGAAAACAAACCCACAAACAGTGCTGGTCAGCTTTATGAGTGCTACAACTTCAAAGACTGGAAGAAATGCTCCCCAGACTGGCTGTTTTGAGAATCAAGAATTCAGGAGCTTTAAAGGGCCTTTATTAGAGAAAATTCTGCATGAGGTCCTAACAGTCCCTGATAATACTGCAAATGGGCATCCTGCATGTAACAAACCTACTCCGGCTCCAAGGAAAAGCCAACCCTGTGAGCCTACTTATTCGTTGCTTGTATATGTTGTATTTTAACCAAGCCTATTTCACAGAAGGCTGCAGTGTAGTGATGATACCATTCCCTTTTTACTGGCGACTAAACTGAGATGGAGGGGAAGTGCAGCCAGAATTTTTGTAAGCAATCT